TGGAATCTTGTCCAGTTCTAATGCTATATTTATGTTGTTTTAATCTTAGTTCGAGATTTTTACCAGTTTGACCGTAATAAACTTTATCGCAAATTTTACAAGGAATCTTATAGACACATTAATCAGCATTTTGGGGGGAATTCTTTATCAAAAGTTTTTTTACTGTATCAAGATTTTTGAATACAACTTTAATAGTTAAAAGTCTTAAGAAGAGAAGGCATATTAACCAAGTTTTCATGGTAAGGGAGAACCAAACATATTTTTAGTTGAATAAGGCTGGTTGTCCCTTTTTGGATTGTAAAAAGTATTTCTAGCAACTTTAAAAGATTTATCAATTACATTTCTTGGGTATTTTAAATCATTACCTATTTCATAAATTTTGGATATTTCCTCATCTATGAACTCAGGACTACAAATTCGTAAAGCTCTCAAAAGCATTGATGAGAAAACAGACAGTTTGACTCTATCTTGATGCGAAGAATAATAGTGGACATAGGAACAGTTATTTGTAGGTTTTTGTAAATTTTAAATTTGAATTCATTATTACCCTTAATAATTAAAACATCTAGAAAAGGCAATGAGTTATTTTCTTCAAACTCAACAGTAAAGTTTATAGAATGGGCTAAGTTATTTAATTTTCCAAGGAAATGGTGTATAATCTACATTTTTGGGCATAAGACACAAAATATCATCAACATATCTGAACCATTTAGCTCTATTAGGGGAGGACTGTGTTAAGCAACCTTGTTTCAAAAATTCCATGTATAGGTTTCTAATAACAGTGAAAGAGGATTTCCCATTGCCACACCAAACTTCTGAGTGTAAAACTTATCATTAAATACAAATTTTGCATCAATAATGCAAAGTTTAATAAGTTTAATGATAGTAGGAACTGGGAATGGTAAATCTTTTTAAACGATTTACTTTCGAAAACAAGGAATAACATAAACTAACCAGTTAAAATCTTTTAAGTCAGTCAAGGACTTAATTTTCAACTAAGTTATGTTGTTTTTAACATTAAAGTTAGAAATTTTGCAAAAATAGGGTCAAAAATAAACAACCATCTGGAAATTTTATGAAATAACCCTAGGGAGCAAATAATTGGTCCGTGGGTTTCCTTTAATATTTAATGGGGAAAATTAACTTGACTAACATAGCTCTCGGGAAAGGGGATTAAAGCGTTAGTCGGGGGTCCACTTATATATATATAATATATATATATATATATAATATATTATAATATATAATATATATATATAAAAAATTATATCCTGGGTAGGGGTTGGGTAGACAGAAAAACCGCCCAGGAGGTATCCCTTTTCCTTGCCAAGTGAGGTAAAATGAAAGCCTGTAATTTTTTTACATGAGGTAGGATTGCGGGTGTCCTTTTTTTTCTGTCTCTAAACATGCAAGATTTCGGGTACTCTTGCTACTTCTACTTACATTAGGTCACATACAATGCATGTAAAGCAATATATTAATATAAATCCCCCGGGGTTTTTTCTTCTATTTTCTTTCTAGTTCTTGTTGTTGTTTTTTCCCCTCTTACTCCAGGGGGAAGTGGAACAGAATTTTCCTCCAAAAGCCATGTGTTGAAAACGACAAAAAGCCGGACCCAAAGGGGCTAGTAACCCCTTCCCTGTAAAAATTTACTAAATTAAAAAAGAGAAACTTTCTTTTTTCTTTTTGGGCCACCCCCCTTGGGTGGGATAGGGCTGGTTTTTTGGAAAAAAAAAAAAAAAAAAAAAAAAAATATATATATTATATATTATATATAATATATATATTATATATATATATTAAATATATATATTTTTATATATAATATATATATAATATATATATATAATTATATTTTTCAACAAGTCGACCTGCGACGTTGGAGTGGAGCAGGGTAAATTTAGTAAGGGATTCGGGGGAAACCGGTTATTTTCTTATATCGGATTGACCCTGGAAATGGAAGAAAATGCCTGCCTTTAAAAGGGGTTTGGGGATATTGGCTTTGGAGGGATATTTGTGTATTTTTAACGTAATGCTTTAAACTGTTGTATTCTGAGCACCTCTGAAAAGGCGGGGTGATAATGTGTGGTGGGTAAAAGGGTTTGAATGATGATAAAAGTATTTTTTTTTTTTTTTGGGATTTTCTTTTTTTTTTTTGGGTCACCCTGCCTGGTGGGACGGCCGACTTGTTGAAAAAAAAAAAAAAAATATTATAATATTTTTATATTATATTATACCCTGGTAGTGGTTGGTAACACAACCGCCCAGGGAGGTACTACCCCTCCCAAAGGGAGTGTAAAATAAGCCTGTAATTTTTTTAAAACCATGGTAGGATGCTGGTTTTTTTCTGTTCAAAAAACACAGATGACAGCAAGGAAATGAGTGAGCTACCAATCCCAATATGATCTTTTTTTTTCAACCCGCAAACCCCAAACTGGAGTCGAAGAAAAAAATGAATTTTTTTTGAGAGAGCCACAAAATTTGACTAACACAAGCCACCGATTTACCCCCCAAAAATGCTTCGAACAGGCGATAAATGAATGCCCCCCTCTGCCCCGGGGGCCCAGACCAGGAACCTTGTTCATCAAGAACTGCAAGAAGCCCCTATCACACCCTTTTTTCCATCCTAGGGAGAGGGAGCATGGACAGGGGGGTCGCCCCTCATTACTAAAAACAACAGACATAGCCCCCCCTCCACAAAGGGGGCAGTAAAGCAACAGCAAAAAATAAGACCAATAGCACTAACATCCCCTATCAAAAAATCTTTGAAAGGGTCCTAAAAGCAAATCACCACCCCTCTAGAAACCCCTCATTCACAACCCCCGGGGAAAAAATGGTTTAAACAGTCCCCCTCCTTCTGTCTCAACTACTGGATACTACGCAAGGGCCTAAATGCATAGAAACAAAAAGAATGCAATGTAAAATATACAGATTTGCAAAAACCTTCGACAGTGTGACCATGGGTAATAGGCACAAAAGCGCGCTAAAGGAATAACAGGAAAAGTCGGTGATGGATCTATAATTTCCTCACAACAGAACACAGAGAGTATCGTCAACAGGTAAAGTCCCAGGCAGCTACGGTGAAAAGTCTGTCCCAAAGGCACAGACTACTCCCATCTTGTTCCTCTCCCATTCCACATGACAAGGATTCAGCCACAGCACGTGTCTTCCTTTGCAGATGACACCCAATCTGCATGACGTGCTTCCATTGCAACCCTGAAAGGCTCCAGGGGGACATCAACCAAAACTTTCATGGGGGGCAGAAAACAAAAGAATTTCAACGATGGAAAATTTCAATTACCAGATTGGTAAAACATGAGGAAATTAAAACTTCATCAGAGTACAAAACAAATTCTGGCCACAAATAGAGCGAAACACCAACGTCAAAAACCTAGGGGTTGTTTTGTCGGAGGACTCACCTTCAAGGGCCATAAAAATTGATCAATGCATCCTGCTAGAAAAATGACAGGATGGATAAATGAAACCTTCAAAACTAGGGGGGCCCAAACCCCAAAGACACCTTCAGGTTTATTGTTTACTAGGCTGGAATATTGCTGCACCTAACCACCTTTCAAGGCAGGGGGAAATTGCCGACCCAAAAATGTACAAGAACTTTTACGGCGCGCATAAGGAGAAAAACACCTCAATTACTGGGGGGGCTTGAGGTTTCTAAACCTGTATTCCCCCGGGAAAGCAGAGGGAGAGATACTGATTTAAAACCCTGGGAAAAACCTGAGGGACTATACCCAAAATTGCACACGAAAATAAACCTACGAAAGCAAAAAAACTTTGGAAACATCACCATCCCCCCAATGAAAAGCAGGGGTGTCACTAGCACGTTAAAAGCCCTACAATAATGTCAGGGGCCCGAGCTGTTCAACTGCCTCCCCGCACACATAAGGGGGATTACCCAAAAACCCCCCGGCAGTTTTTGTGGGGATGGACAAGCAACTAAAGTCAGTTCCCCCACAGCCGGGGTGGGCTCTACTTGGGTTTTTCTGCAGCCGCAGCAACAGCCTGGTTGATCAGGGCCTGATCCACCAGGGGGGCCCCCCCCCAGACCCGGGCCCCGGGGGGGTTGACCCCCGAAACTCTCTCCGGTAAACCCAGTAAACTCCCGGCAAGGTTTCAGGGACGTCTTTCTACTTCTGCTTACACTTAGGTCACACTACACATACATGTACAAGCATATGTATACACACCCCTCTGGGTTTTCTTCTATTTTCTTACTAGCTCTTGTTCTTGTTTATTTCCTCTTATCTCCATGGGAAGTGGAACAGAATTCTTCCTCCGTAAGCTATGCGTGTTGTAAGAGGCGACTAAAATGCCAGGAGCAAGGGGCTAGTAACCCCTTCTCCTGTATATATTACTAAATATGAAAGGAGAAACTTTTGTTTTTCCTTTTGGGCCACCCCACCTCTGTGGGATACGGCTGGTGTGTTGAAAGAAAGAAAGATATATATATATATATATATATACGTATATATATGTGTATATGCCATCTCCAAGGTAGGGGTAACCCAGAAATGGATATACATTCACCATCATTCATTCAGCCACTGTCTTGCCAGAAATGTATTGACTTCACAATTCAGATTTCCCTCTGAATGCAACATCCACATTCCCTCCTTCAGAGTACAGTCACTGTCCTTCCTATCTCCACTACTCAATTCCAGCTAACCTGTTTCCCTAAATCCCTTGTGTTACCTTGATTAGTTCAACAGCACATCCATTAAAAAATCACTTGCTTCCATTGACTCCTAAGACACGCTAACAAGCCTGCAGGAAGCTCAATCCCCTAAAACTCAAACCCTCCTTTACCATCCCTCCTTCCAGTCAATCACGGGACACCCCTGCCCCCCCCCCTTCCAACCCAAAGTTCATTTGCTCTCCGAGATTTCTCACTTTACTGATCACTCTCCAAAGCTGTTTCCCTCCTCAATGTACCTACATGCTTCAATATTGCTCTATGGTTTAAATATTAAGTGATACATTCTGTATATTTTTTATACAAGGCTGTTATTGCTTATAAACTGATAAAAATAATAAGTATTTTTAGGTTATAAACAGAAACAGCAAATTTTGTACTTAAGCCCACATCAAGAGAATCTTTGTACTATAATTTTTTATGTGATCAATGGTTTTGAAAACCGACGAGTTGAAGATTGAGACACTTACGCAACATATGGGAATCTTTATTAAGGAAATATTTTGCCATACAGCAACTGACTTGTTGGTTTTCAAAACCATTTATCACATCTGTCAGACACTGCAACATCATGAGATCTTGATACAAGGAATTCTTCAATACTTGTCCAACCTTTGGACGAAGGCCTACTTACACTAGTGGATGGTTCCATTGTGATCCTGCCTCCTCCTACTTTGACTCGCCTGACTACAGTAAATAAGCCATTTCTCCAGCCATATGCTGTACTTTCTACAAGAGGAATAACTGAACACATTGATTCCAGGCTGAGGGACTGATTACCTCAAACTCTTCCTCTCCTTACACCGTTTCTGCTTTGCACCGGACTGATGAAACCACTGTAGGCGAAACGTTTCCTTAATAAAGATTCCCATATGTTGCATAAGTATCTAATCTATAATTTTTTGCTATAGTAAAAACATTTATATTTATGCTTTACAGATTTGGTCTATATCAGCTTTCAATGGCTTGAGTTCCTCACTTTTGCCTTGAGTCTTGTTCTGTTCTATTTCTTCCTCCTTAAGTCCATACAAGTCCAGTGTACCGCTATAGTGGAACACGACGATATCTCCCAGCAAAGAGATGAACATTAACACTGAGAAAAAGATACAATAATTAATAACTAAAAATTATCACTTGTAGTATGGTACATTATAAAAAAATAATCCTTATAATTATTTTTTCTAAATAACAAAATGTAATTAATTATTTCAGAATCTACCATGCATGATGGGAAGTATGAAAAGAAAATCCTTCCTACTAAGTCTTAGGAAAATATTGGCCTTGATATAACCTTGAAAATAAGTCAGACATGTAGACCAGGACAGCCACTCAATGTAGTAGAGGTACATATATCAAATTTTGATAAATGAAAAAAACCAATGAAAGGATTTTAGCCTTCTGCAATATGTTGCTGTTTTACAATTTCCTACAATATTTGTTGATTACTCTAATATCAAAAGGTGAAACAACTAGTTATATTGGATTCCAAATATATATGTAGTATAGAGTATTGTGTACAGAAATATGAAATACAGGTCTCCCTCAACATTCACGTTTTCAGCTTTCGCGGGCTTCACACATTCGCGAATTCCCAACCGCCAAATTCCCAGCCACCAAATTCCAAGCCGCCAAATCATATTCAAGTTTCCCGCCACCTGCGAGTCCCTACTACCCTCCCACCGACCCCCGCAACTAGCAGCCAGCCCTCCCACCACTCAGTGTGGTGAGTGTTTTGTTTGTTCATTATTTGCTATTAAACTACAGTATAAATAATGTAAACCCATTCATGACTGCATATTGGAATGGCTATTCGGACAGGTATTAGACGGTGACATCATGTGTTTACTCTTGAACACAGCAAAGAATCAAACATTTCTGCTACTGCTAATAATAACAATAGTAATAATAATAATAATAATAATAATAATAATAATAATAATAATAATAATAAATACGATATAATTGAAGGAAGTTGTACAAAAATACGAGGGAGTGGCTGACACATCGTCAGTGTGGCTTTGTTTATGCTGGAGTGAGCATTAGTCTCCGTGCTCTTCCAAACATTTCACAATAATTCATTGTTTGGTGCTTGTAGATTGAGTGCGACTGGAGTGGTAGAGGCAGTGGTAGAGGCAGTGGTTGAGGCAGCTGTTGAGGCAGCTGTTGAGGCAGCTGTTGAGGCAGCTGTTGAGGCAGCGATTGAGGCAGTGGTTGAGGCAGCGATTGAGGCAGTGGGTGAAGCAGCTGTTGAGGCTGCTGTTGAGGCAGCGATTGAGGCAGTGGTTGAGGCAGCTGTTGAGGCAGCAATTGAGGCAGTGGGTGAGGCAGCTGTTGAGGCAGCGATTGAGGCAGTGGTTGAGGCAGCTGTTGAGGCAGCGATTGAGGCAGTGGTTGAGGCAGCGATTGAGGCAGTGGGTGAGGCTGCTGTTGAGGCAGCGATTGAGGCAGTGGGTGAGGCAGCTGTTGAGGCAGCGATTGAGGCAGCGATTGAGGCAGTGGGTGAGACAGCTGTTGAGGCAGCGATTGAGGCAGTGGGTGAGGCAGCTGTTGAGGCAGCGATTGAGGCAGCTGTTGAGGCAGCGATTGAGGCAGTGGGTGAGGCAGCTGTTGAGGCAGCGATTGAGGCAGCTGTTGAGGCAGCGATTGAGGCAGTGGGTGAGGCAGCTGTTGAGGCTGCTGTTGAGGCAGCGATTGAGGCAGTGGTTGAGGCAGCTGTTGAGGCAGCAATTGAGGCAGTGGGTGAGGCAGCTGTTGAGGCAGCGATTGAGGCAGTGGGTGAGGCAGCTGTTGAGGCAGCGATTGAGGCAGTGGTTGAGGCAGCTGTTGAGGCAGCGATTGAGGCAGTGGTTGAGGCAGCTGTTGAGGCAGTGGGTGAGGCAGCGATTGAGGCAGTGGGTGAGGCAGCTGTTGAGGAAGGAATCGAGGCAGTGGTTGAGGCAGCTGTTGAGGCAGCGATTGAGGCAGTGGTTGAGGCAGTGATTGAGGCAGTGGATGAGGCAGCTGTTGAGGCAGCGACTGAGGCAGCTGTTGAGGCAGCGATTGAGGCAGCCGTTGAGGCAGCTGTTGAGGCAGCAATTGAGGCAGTGGTTGAGGCAGCGGTTGAGGCAGTGGTATTTAATAACATACATGTTATTAATAATAATAATACATGTTATTAATAATATGTACTATTATTATTTATAACATATATGTTATTAAATACCACTGCCTCAACTGCTGAATTATTGTGAAATGTTTGGAAGAGCACGGAGACTAATGCTCACTCCAACATAAACAAAGCCACACTGACGATGTGTCAACCACTCCCTCGTATTTTTGTACAATTTCCTTCTTCAATTATATCGTATTATTATTATTATTATTATTATTATTATTATTATTACTATTGTTATTATTAGCAGTAGCAGAAATGCTTGATTCTTTGCTGTGTTCAAGAGTAAACACATGATGTCAACCCTCCAATACCTGTCCGAATAGCCATTCCAATATGCAGTCATGAATGGGTTTGCATTATTTATACTGTAGTTTAATAGCAAATAATGAACAAACAAAACACTCACCACACTGAGTGGTGGGAGGGCTGGCTGCCAGTTGCGGGGGTCGGAGGGAGGGTAGTAGGGACTCGCAGTGGTTGAGGAAGTGGTGGAGGCATTGGTGGAGGCAATGGCGGAGTCTGTGGTATTTAATAACATACATGTTATTAAAGCATAACATGTATATTTTTAGTACAGTTTATGACGTTTTCATGTATTTTATGGTTGTTCACGGTTCAACAAGTTAAGGAAGCAGTATTGTATTATATTTCCCTACAATATATTGGGGCACCAAACATTCACGGTTTTTCAACATTCGCGAGGCTCTTGATCCCCTAACCCTCGCGAATGTTGAGGGAGACCTGTAGAAGGTTTTTGACATCCTAAAAATGCTGTCATAACAAATAAAAAAGGTAGAAAGCTTCGTTAAACAATACTGACTAGATCTGGATGCTTAATAATGTATTTTTATGGTATTACTGCTCAGTCTGCCATTAATCGGACACATTGAGGAAGGCTATTATTTTGAGTCGTTTATTGATTGACTACAGTGACAATAATTCCTTTGATAAATACAATTACATCTTTATTGTAATGCATAGCCAAAATACAAGATGAAATGTGTTCTCTAATTCTATACTTACTAAATGAGCGTAATTTTTTTGAACCATGCAAATATTTAAATATTATCCATGCCACTGGCAGATTTCCAGAAGCTAACCGGTTGAGCAACACCACACTACAATGACTGTATGAACTGAAAGATTTTGCTAGATTCACTGATGTAGGTGATTTCCATAACATTTTCCATGAATAATAATAATAATCATAATAATAATTCTTTTTTAACACACCAGCTGTATCCCACCAAGGCAGGGTAACCTAAAAAGAAAAACAGTTTTTACTTAATAATAATAATAATACAGTGGAACCTCAGTTGTAAAGTGGACTAGTTGTCGAACTAATCAGTTTTCAAACTGATCTGTTCGATTTGGTTTTTGTATGTGGTCTTGGTTGTTGACCAAGAACACTCGGATCACATGATCACCACACAGCGTGGGTTTCAGTCAGTATAACTAACTTACGGAATTATGCTACTGTGAAGTTAGCAGTCTTGGCGATATTTACACATCGGCGATTTCACCCACTTTGAGCCATATTTTGGGCCAATTCCATTGTTCCAGTCCAGTTCTAGCTATTTCGCTAGAACTCCTTTTATTCTATTGATTGAGTACAAGAAACTGCCCATTTACTTATTTCAACTACCCAATAAAGCAATCTGAAATTACTAATTATGGCCAATTTCACACAAAATTCAAGAAAGGATAATTTCAAAACAGGGCTCAGCATAAACAATGAAGACATCCCTGGCACTAAAATAACATTTTATTTGTTCATTAGTCACATCTTCAGGCCCCTCTTATATTACACTTGCTTTTCATTTTGAATTTTTATTCACACAAAAAATAGAAGATTTACTGTTATTCAGACTACTGCATAATGTAATAATTGTATAAATAATATTAGCACATTCGTGACTGAATATTAGACCCACCAGTTGATGTGTACTGGACGTGTGACATAATTTGTTTACTCTTGAACATTGGCAAAAATCAAATATTTCCACTACTTTCAGCTCAATTTCAAGCTACTTTTAGTCTTATACCATTGAAAATCATCTCTATTTCTGTCATATATCTTCCATTCTATCAAACGAGATCAAGAAACGAGAATATAATCATAAATGCCATACAAAAATACACCGTAAAGTCGCAGTTTTTGTTTCTCATTAGGCACTATGTGCTGCAGGATTTTTTTACACTCCTCACACTTACCATGCAGACGAATTCTCTCACATGCAAAGCTACCAGCTTTCTCCCACAACATTTGAAGCCACTAGAATTTTGCCATTAGCTCTCCTCTGACAGGCAAGAGACAGTTAAATTTTAATTTAGTACATGTATTCATTTTTTCCAGTTTCCGTGTGCTTTATAATTTCATACATTTTTAATGTAGTAGCTCCTACATTATTATTAATAAATTATCATATTGTCATTTTTGGTCTGGAATGGATTAATTATATTTACATTATTCTTTATGGGAAAAGTTGGCTTGGTTTTTGACCATTCTGGTCGTCAAACCGACATATGGAACGAATTAAGTTCGACAACCGAGGTTCCACTGCATCTGTTTTACCGGAAGTGCATGGGCATCAAAATTAACGTGACTCTCTGAACTACAACATCCCCACTCATCTTTCAGTTTGCATACCCTTCACTTTCTGCCTCTTAAAAGTTACACCCAGCTAACAATTATTATAACAATTATAGAAATACGGTTTATTTACAGCAGGATGATCAATTGCTATGTCTACTTCCCAAACTACTGCAACACAAGACACTGAGTGGTACATACAACATCTGCTGCTTTTTAAAAAGAGCACAAATTATATTCAAGAGCAAGCAATAAAACCATAAAGATAATACAGCATTAAAAGGGCAAGAAATAGCCTAAGAATGGATAAATACCTGCAGGAACCACATGAAGGATTTTTCTAAACTTTTCAGAGTCATAGAGCCAACAGTTGCCAGATATACCACAAGACTTGTCCCACACCACACAAGCAGAATCTGAAAATATATGGAAAACAAACTTCATATTTTTATGCAATCATTACTTGCTATGCAGTATTTCCTCAACATAAACTGAGACCGTGGCTGATAGGCCACAGTCTTAGTCACATTCTTGGTTACAGTCTTCTTAACAGTCTTGGTCACAGTCTTGGCTATTGTCTTGGTCACAGTCTTAACTACAGTCTTGGTTAGTCTTAGCCACAGTCTTGGTTAGTCTTAGCCACAGTCTTGGTTAGTCTTAGCCATAGTCTTGGTTAGTCTTAGTCACAGTCTTGGCTATAGTCTTGGTCACAGTCTTAGCCACAGTTCTCTCAGCAGTTCATGCAGTCCTTGCTCCTAGGCACAGTCTTGGCTACAGTCTTGGTCACAGTCTTGGCTACAGTCTTGGTCACAGTCTTGGCTATAGTCTTGGTCACAGTTCTCTCAGCAGTTCATGCAGTCTTGGCTACAGTCTTGGTCATAGTCCTAGTCACAGCCTTGGTTACAGTTTTCTCAGCAGTTCTTGTTCTGTCTTATTATTTTTTTATTTTTTATTAACACACTGGCCGATTCCCACCAAGGCAGGGTGGCCCAAAAAAGAAAAACTTTCACCATCATTCACTCCATCACTGTCTTGCCAGAAGGGTGCTTTACACTACAGATTTTAAACTGCAACATTAACACCCCTCCTTCAGAGTGCAGGCACTGTACTTCCCATCTCCAGGACTCAAGTCCGGCCTGCCGGTTTCCCTGAATCCCTTCATAAATGTTACTTTGCTCACACTCCAACAGCACGTCAAGTATTAAAAACTATTTGTCTCCATTCACTCCTATCAAACACGCTCACACATGCCCATTGGAAGTCCAAGCCCCTCGCACACAAAACCTCCTTTACTCCCTCCCTCCAACCTTTCCTAGGCCTACCCCTACCCCACCTTCCTTCCACTACAGACTGATACACTCTTGAAGTCATTCTGTTTCGCTCCATTCTCTCTACATGTCCGAACCACCAACAACCCTTCCTCAGCCCTCTGGACAACAGTTTTGGTAATCCCGCACCTCCTCCTAACTTCCAAACTACGAATTCTCTGCATTATATTCACACCACACATTGCCCTCTGACATGACATCTCCACTGCCTCCAGCCTTCTCCTCACTGCAACATTCATCACCCATGCTTCACACTCATATAAGAGCGTTGGTAAAACTATACTCTCATACATTCCCCTCTTTGCCTCCAAGGACAAAGTTCTTTGTCTCCACAGACTCCTAAGTGTACTGCTCACCCTTTTCCCCTCATCAGTTCTATGATTCACCTCATCTTTCATAGACCCATCCGCTGACACGTCCACTCTCAAATATCTGAATACATTCACCTCCTCCATACTCTCTCCCTCCAATCTGATATCCAATCTTTTATCACCTAATCTTTTTGTTATCCTCATAACCTCACTCTTTCCTGTATTCACTTTTAATTTTCTTCTTTTGCATACCCTACCAAATTCACAGATTTATTCCAACACTGGGTGAGATTTTTCCAGTTGGATCATTATTATTTCAGTAGTATCAATAAGTATCTTGTACAACTTTGCACACATTTTTTCAGTTTAAAAATGAATACAGGAAAGGCAAATTTAGGAAAACTCTTGCTGTTCTTACCTATGATGGCTCCCATGATGATGGGTGCTGGGATGAAGCCAAATAAACTAATAAAAACTGTAATCACACCAAGTGACAGCCCTTTATCTTCATCTGACACTGACCTGAAGCAGCCAAAATAAAAATATTTATGAATAAATATATAATATTTATATGTATATGCTGTACTGTGACAGAAGGTTACAAGAATATTTTATATTTAGGACCACAAACGAGGCTCTCTCAGCAGATTCTGAATGGCATTCTCATCTTATAATAACTTATAATAAAGTATGTATTTAATTTACTTGGTTGAGCTATTTACCAAACCAACAGCTTCCTAGTTAATTTACACAAAATTTGCCTAAATAGCAATTCTCATAAGAACAGGAATTGAAAAGTACTGCACAACTGGCCAATGCTAAGTCAGTCTTACTAACACCCAACCATTCCCACTCATACAATCTAATCTATAGCATGTATTTTTAAACCTACACAAGGTAGCCTCAGTTATACTACTTGCCAAGGTAGCCTCAGTTATACTACTTGCCAAGGTAGCCTCAGTTATACTACTTGCCAAGGTAGCCTCAGTTATACTACTTGCCACTTTGTTGCACTTATCTACAGCTCTATTGTATCCCACAAGGTATATAATACTCACAAATGTATAAATTAAACATAGATACAGTCTTGGCTACTTATTATATTGCCAGGACAATGTCCTGGAATGAGTCTCAATCTTTTTATGACCCATATTACACTCTTCATAAGTGAAACGTATCCTGATAAAAATTTCCAAAGGTTGCACAAGTCTAATTTATATAATTACTACAAACAAAAGCAAGGTTCATTTATTATTTATAAAATATATACCAGAAGTAATCCTTAGGCTACATATTTATATGATAACTTTCTACAGTGGGCTAAGAAGACACAAGGAAACACTAGGACATATTTATTAAAAAATATCTTGGTCCTGGGACCTTGATCACTTCTAACATGTTATAAGTAATCAAGGTCCCAGGACTGAAATGTTTTCTAATAAATATATCTTAGTGTTTGCTCACATGTCTTTTTAACCTGTAAACGGTCCAAGCAGATCTATGTTCACATGTGTAGTGCTACAAAAGTAGATCTACTTTTTTTACTTATTTTCAAATGTAACAAAAAAAAAAGTAGATCAAAGTTTTTTTACACATTTTCAAATGTAAAAAAACAAAAAGAAGATCTACTTTTTTTACATACTTTCAAATGTTGAAAAAACGTATATATATGTTTGGACCGTTTACGGGTTAAACTAGTTTGTCGGTATCAACTTTCTACAATATCACTACAATAGAAAAAAATGGAAATATGTGTAGTAATGGCTGAAAAAAGCTTATAAAAGAGAAGAGGGTATATAATAACAATGTAACAAGCTAATTCACATCATGAGAATGACAGACTAACCCTGTGATCCGTGACAGGTTTCCAGGGCTATTCTACACTTGAAGTCCAACCTTTGGACAGGCTTTCCTGCCTGCTCAACCATGCTGTTACTGTAAGCTGCCCAGTGGACTACAAAGCCATCATAGCAAGGTTGATCAGGAACTTGGCAGAGACAGTGGTCCAGATGACAGTAGTGTGAATATGACAAAATAACCCAGATGACAGCAGTGTAACAACTATATAATCTAAGCAAAGCAATAATGTAAAAAGTACACACTTCCATGGAATGTCTTAGTTTATAACATGAGAACTTGCATGGATAAGAAATTTCTCATTTTGTTTTGCTCATGATCAGTATTTTTATTTCTTTATGCTGTGTGATATGCTTGGAACTACTAAATGCCTCAAATGATGTTGTTGATGTTTTGGCAGTAAAGATTGAGAACCAAAACCTGGTCATTGTGGTTGTATACAAGCCTCTGGATGCAACTTCCCAACAATTCCAGGAACAGCTTTTGAAAATAGACCACTGTCTGGAAAATCTTCCACCTCCTGCCCCAAACATCTTGCTTCTGGGAGATTTCAACCTGAGGCACCTAAAATGAAAGAATGTAGCAAATAATGCTGTAGCAGAGATAACCCCAGGAGGCAGCTCAGTTGAAAACTCACACACACAAGCTTTTAAATCTCTGCACCAAATTCACCGTAAACCAGCAAATAATAGAGCCAACTAGATTGGAGAATACACTGGACCTCATCTTCACTAACAATGATGATCTGATACAAAACATTACAATATTAAAAAAACATACTCAGATCACAATAGAGGTTCAGACATGTATGTGCAGGACCCCAGACCAAGAAAATGTGATCAGTAATGAGGGAGCCTTCACCGAATTCAACTTCAATAACAAAAACAAAAGGTGGGATCAATTTAACCAGGTCCTAAATGATATAAACTGGGAAGATATCCTAAGCAACATGGATCCAAACCTATGTCTAAAAAATATTAACACTGTGGCACTCAAGGTATGCTCAAGCCATATTCCTTTAAGGAAAAGGAAGAGAAGATGTAAACTAGAAAGAGAAAGGCGTTCCCTATACAGGCGAAGGTGAAAAATAACAGAACGGCTAAAAGAGGCCAATATATCTGTAATACGAAGGAAGGCATTGATCAGAGAAATAGCAAACATCGAACTTAAGCTAAAGGAATCTTACAGGAGTCAAGAAATGCAGAAGAACTAAAAGTCATAAATGAAATTGAAAGAAACCAAAAATATTTCTTTTCTTATGCCAAATCTAAGTTGAGAACAACATCCAGCATTGGGCCCTTAGACAAAATGGGTCTACAAAGATGACAGCGAGGAAATAAGTGAGCTACTCAAGTCCCAATATGACTCGGTTTTTTAGTGAGCCACTAACCAGACTGAGAGTCGAAGACCTAAGTGAATTTTTTATGAGCAAGACACAGAATTTGGTAGATTCAAATCTATCTGATATTATCCTGATGGCAAATGACTTCATAAAGGGAATAAATGACAGGCCCATGCACTCTGCCCCAGGCCCAGACTCACGGAACTCCGTGTTTATCAAGAACTGCAAGAAACCCCTATCATGTGCTTTTAACATCCTATGGAGAGGGAGCATGGACACAGGGGTAGTCCCACAGCTGCCAAAAAAGACATAGCTCCATTCCATAAAGGGGGCAGCAAATCAATAGAAAAGGACTACAGACCAATAGTGGTAACATCTCATATCTATAAAATCTTTGAAAGGGTTCTAAGAAGCAAGATTGCCACTCATCTAAATACCCATCAGTTACACAACCCAGGGCAACATGGGTTTAGAGCAGGTCGCTCCTGCCTGTCCCAACTACTGGACCACTATGACAAAGTCCTGGATGCTCTAGAAGACCAAAAAAATGCAGATGTAGCATACACAGACTTTGCAAAAGAGTTTGACAAGTGTGACCATGGTGTAATAGTGCACAAAATGTGTGATAAAGGAATAACAGGAAAAATTAGTAGATGGATCTATAATTTCCTAACAAATAGAATACAAAGCATAGTAGTAAACAGAGTAAAGTCTGAGGTGGCTACTGTCTCCTGCTCCTCATCCTCATATCTGACATAGACAGGGATGTAAGCCACAGCACCGTGTCTTCCTTTCCAGATGACACCCGAATTTGCATGACAGTGTCCTCCATTGAAGACACTGCAAGACTCCAAGTGGACATCAACCAAATCTTTAAATGGGCCACAGAAAACAATATGAAGTTCAATGTTGAGAAAGTTCAATTACTCCAATATGGAAAAACGTGAGGAAATTAAAACTACATCAGAGTATAAAACAAATTCCAACCACACAACAGAGCAAAAAAGTAATGTAAAAGACTTGGGAGTGACAATGTCAGAGGATATCACTTTCAAAGACTACAACATTGTATTAATTGCATCTGCTAGAAAAATGATAGGATAGATAATGAGAACCTTCAAAACTAGGGATGCCAAGCCCATGATGACACTCTTCAGGTCACTTGTTCTATCTAGGCTGAATATTGCTACACACTAACAGCACCTTTCAAGGCAAGTGAAATTGCTGACCTAGGAAAATGTACAGAGAACCTTCATGGCATACATAAGTGCAATAAAACACCTCAATTACTGGGAACGCTTGAAGTTCCTCAACTTGTACACCCTAGAATGCAGGTGGGAGAGATACATGATTATATACACTTGGAAAATCCTAGAGCGACTAGCACCAAATTTGCACATGAAAATCACTCCCTATGAAAGCAACAGATTTGGCAGATGATGCAACATCCCCCCAGTGAAAAGTAGGGGTGCCACTAGCATGATAAGAGACAACACAATAAGTGTCAGGGGCCCAAGACTGTTCAACTGCCTCTCAGCATACATAAGAGAGATTACCAATAGACCCGTGGCTGTCTTCAAGAAGGCAATGGACAGGTACCTAAAGTCAGTACCTGATCAGCTGGGCTGTGGTTCGTATGTCAGGTTACATGTGACCAACAGTAACAGCCTGGTTAATCAGGCCTTGATTCACCATGAAGCTTGGCCACGGACCGGGCCACAGGGGCACTGACCCCTGAAACCCTCTCCAGGTATATTCCAGGTAGCTTCAATTCCTTAGATCAAGAGACCACTCATCAGGATCAAGGCTGCCTCTTGAAGGCATGAATAACAACTCCAAATGCAAAATCAAATAGCTGAGAACCACAAATTTCAATCTCAATTACATACCAGAACCTAACCTAACTCATGTAATACAGTGGAACCTCAGTACTCAAAGAATTCCCTACTCGAACAATTTGAGATTTGAATGTTTTGTTCGATAAAAAAAAATTGCTCGGTAGTCGACCACTTGCGCGGCACTTGACCAAACAAACATGGCCTGCCGGAACTTCACTGTAAACTATTTTGTGTTTCTTCACATTTTTTGGTGTTTTTTTTTTTTTTATATCATTTGTATAAATAAGTCACCATGGGGTTTAAGATGATAAGTGATAACAGCCAATCAAAAAGAAAATTGGTCGGGAAAAATTCATTCGATGCTCAAACAGATCGGCACTTGAACAGCCTTCTGGAACAAATTAAGTTCGATACTGAGGTTCTACCATATTAAGCATTCCCAGCACCAGGCTTACTTGAGAAGCACAATGCTGCCATATATACAAAAGGATGCATTTTCAGCACTACTCTTACCTGAGATGGACATTGCTGCCACCAAAAATAACTGGAGAAGCACTTTGATTACCACTATTACCTGAGGAGGACAATACTGCCACCTATACGACTTGTGGAAGACACAGTTTTGGTGATGATCTGAATGAGGAAGTAGTAGAAGAAACCGTTACATGGTTCTGGACAGTACCCACGTGTGGCTCTTCCCCTCTCATTCTGAAAATATTTAATTACTTTATTTATACAATATAACTTGCACTTGAATACTGTACTTAAGAGTACATTCACACCAACTTATTGATTTACTTACTTTGATTAAATTATCTATTTTATAATTATTATTAGTATTATCATGGGGATGTGCTAAACCCATAAGGGTCATACAGTACCTGAGGAATGAGAAGGGTGGAGGTCATCTAGTTTGATTCAAGGGAGGCTAGCTCTAATTCCTCGGATCAAGAGCTCCTCATCAGTATCAAGAATGCTCCCTTCAAGAGTATACATCTAACACAATCACATCATATAGTCCAGAGATTAAGATAACCTATTTAATTTACACAAAAACTTAAGGAATAAATTTCATTGACAGACATTTTCCTACAAAGTTGTACATACATGCCATTCACTTCACTTTTGTCTAAGTCTGCCTTAAATTTCTTTCTTTTAATGAATCTGCCATCTCCCACCAAGGCAGGATGACCTAAAAAGAAAAACAAAAGTTTTCTTTTTACATGTAGTAATTTGTACAAGAGAAGGGGTTACTAGCCCCTTGCTCCCAGCATTTTAGTTGTCCCTATGACACATGTGACTTACGGAGGAAATATTTTTTTCCACTTCCCCATACAAGGTGAAAGGAAATCAAAAGATGAGAACTATTAAAGAAAAACAGATGAAAACTCGATGAGTTGTTACATAATAGTTATGTGTATGTATGTGTCCTAAGTGTAAGTAGAAGTACAAGATATACCTGTTATCTTGCATGTTTATGAAACAGAAAAAAGTCGACAGAAATCCTACCATTGTGTAAAACAATTACAGGCTTCAGTGAAATGGAAATCTGTAATGGTTTCCGTGGTATCTCCCTGGGTGGTTGCTCTCAACCAACCAACTACCAATAAATAATAATAATAATTTAGACTGACCTCTGGTATAGGTGCAGCGTAGTTGGGTTGTGAGGAGTTGCTAACACAGCGACAATCACTATACACCTACCCAGGAGAGAAACAGATGTAGTAAATAAGTAATCAGCTTTATTATATTTATTTTTACATTCTCTTTTTGTTAAAACATCAGCCATCTCCCACTATGTTGGGTAACCCTGCTCATAATCAATTAAATTCCCCATCCTTTATTTATTTTCTGCATTGCCAGAAGTGCATGACATAAATGAAATGACCATACAAACTTAACATCCCATCACTCCTTCAGAGTGCAGGCATTGTATTTCATACACAAATAACCCGCATATAGGAGAGAGGAGCTTACGATGACGTTTCAGTCCAACTTGGACCATTTACAAAGTCACACTAACAAAAAGGAGAGGAGGGAGTATATATGTAGGCCAGCAAACAGGGACAGGACAAGAGAGGTAGTAGGAAAGGAAGAAGAGAGTAGTGGTAGAGGTAGTAGTACAGTAGTAGTAGTGGAGTCAGTTAAAGACTAAGAAAGAGCACTGCAAGGGAGCTAGGGGCCCACAGAGAGTAGGAACAAGAGCACAGAGGGGAGAAAAATAATAATGGACCAACCACCCAAGGCAGAAGAAAGAAAATCCAAAGGAGAAAGAGGAAAGGGGAGGAGGGAGAAGGGAAAAAAAGAATCTGGTTAAGTCACGGGTGTTCTGAAGTTTGGAGCACTTTACAATGTAATAGGAAAGGAAGGCATCTACAGAGATGAAGCCAGGACTAAGAGTCATACAAGGAAAGTTGTGTATAAGGGAGGATTCAACCAGACGGCGACTGTGAAAGTTAGAAGCAGGGTAGACAGTTTTAGCAGAAGACCAGTCAATAGGATGACTGTAATCTCTGACATGACATAAAAAAGTATTGTTGGTGTTGGCAAGTCTAACACTGCTTTTGTGCTCCCTGAGTCCGTCAGAAAGAGAACAGCCAGTTTCTCCAAAGTACTGAAGAGGACAAGAGGAACAAGAAATAGACACCAAGACCTCTACCACTACCTCTCTTCTTCCTTTCCTACTACCCCTCTTGTCCCATCCCTGTCTTCTGGCCTATATATATAGGTCTCCCTCAACATTCACGTTTTCAGCTTTCGCGGGCTTCACACATTCGTGAATTCCCAACCGTCAAATTCCCAGCCACCAAATTCCCAGCCGCCAAATCATATTCAAGTTTCCTACCACCTGCGAGTCCCTACTACCCTCCCACCGACCCCCGCAACTAGCAGCCAGCCCTCCCACCACTCAGTGTGGTGAGTGTTTTGTTTGTTCATTATTTGCTATTAAACTACAGTATAAATAATGTAAACCCATTCATGACTGCATATTGGAATGGCTATTCGGACAGGTATTAGACGGTGACATCATGTGTTTACTCTTGAACACAGCAAAGAATCAAACATTTCTGCTACTGCTAATAATAACAATAGTAATAATAGTAATAATAATAATAATAATAATAATAATAATAATAATTATAATAATAATAAATACGATATAATTGAAGGAAGTTGTACAAAAATACGAGGGAGTGGTTGACACATCGTCAGTGTGGCTTTGTTTATGCTGGAGTGAGCATTAGTCTCCTGCTCTTCCAAACATTTCACAATAATTCATTGTTTGGTGCTTGTAGATTGAGTGCGACTGAGTGGTAGAGGCAGTGGTAGAGGCAGTGGTTGAGGCAGCTGTTAGCCAGCTGTTGAGGCAGCTGTTGAGCAGCGATTGAGGCAGTGGTTGAGGCAGCGATTGAGGCAGTGGGTGAGCAGTGTTGAGGCTGCTGTTGAGGCAGCAATTGAGGCAATGGTTGAGGCAGCTGTTGAGGCAGCGATTGAGGCAGGGGTGAGGCAGCTGTTGAGGCAGCGATTGAGGCAGTGGTTGAGGCAGCTGTTGAGGCAGCGATTGAGGCAGTGGTTGAGGCAGCGATTGAGGCAGTGGGTGAGGCTGCTGTTGAGGCAGCGATTGAGGCAGTGGTTGAGCAGCTGTTGAGGCAGCAATTTGAGGCAGTGGTGAGGCAGCTGTTGAGGCAGCGATTGAGGCAGCGATTGAGGCAGTGGGTGAGACAGCTGTTGAGGCAGCGATTGAGGCAGTGGGTGAGGCAGCTGTTGAGGCAGCGATTGAGGCAGCTGTTGAGGCAGTGATTGAGGCAGTGGGTGAGGCAGCTGTTGAGGCTGCTGTTGAGGCAGCAATTGAGGCAGTGGTTGAGGCAGCTGTTGAGGCAGCTGTTGAGGCAGCAATTGAGGCAGTGGGTGAGGCAGCTGTTGAGGCAGTGATTGAGGCAGTGGGTGAGGCAGCTGTTGAGGCAGCGATTGAGGCAGTGGTTGAGGCAGCTGTTGAGGCAGCGATTGAGGCAGTGGTTGAGGCAGCTGTTGAGGCAGTGGGTGAGGCAGCGATTGAGGCAGTGGGTGAGGCAGCTGTTGAGGAAGCAATCGAGGCAGTGGTTGAGGCAGCTGTTGAGGCAGTGATTGAGGCAGTGGTTGAGGCAGCTGTTGAGGCAGCGATTGAGGCAGCTGTTGAGGCAGCGATTGAGGCAGTGGGTGAGGCAGCTGTTGAGGCAGTGGGTGAGGCAGCGATTGAGGCAGTGGGTGAGGCAGCTGTTGAGGAAGCAATCGAGGCAGTGGTTGAGGCAGCTGTTGAGGAAGCAATCGAGGCAGTGGTTGAGGCAGCTGTTGAGGCAGTGGGTGAGGCAGCTGTTGAGGCAGCTGTTGAGGCAGCGATTGAGGCAGCCGTTGAGGCAGTGGTATTTAATAACATACATGTTTTTAATAATAATAATACATGTTATTAATAATATGTACTATTATTATTTATAACATATATGTTATTAAATACCACTGCCTCAACTGCTGAATTATTGTGAAATGTTTGGAAGAGCACGGAGACTAATGCTCACTCCAACATAAACAAAGCCACACTGACGATGTGTCAACCACTCCCTCGTATTTTTGTACAATTTCCTTCTTCAATTATATCGTATTATTATTATTATTATTATTTATTATTATTATTATTATTACTATTGTTATTATTAGCAGTAGCAGAAATGCTTGATTCTTTGCTGTGTTCAAGAGTAAACACATGATGTCACCGTCCAATACCTGTCCGAATAGCCATTCCAATATGCAGTCATGAATGGGTTTGCATTATTTATACTGTAGTTTAATAGCAAATAATGAACAAACAAAACACTCACCACACTGAGTGGTGGGAGGGCTGGCTGCCAGTTGCGGGGGTCGGAGGGAGGGTAGTAGGGACTCGCAGTGGTTGAGGAAGTGGTGGAGGCATTGGTGGAGGCAATGGCGGAGTCTGTGGTATTTAATAACATACATGTTATTAACCCTTTCAGGGTCCGTCCCGTAGATCTATGGCTTTACGTTCAGGGTCCAAACCGTAGATCTACGCCATGAGCTCAGCTCACTCTGATAAACTGTGAGTGGTACATTTGGGCCTAGATATGAGAGAATACATCTATGTGGTATGTGTGCACCACATAAAACAGATCCTGCAACACACTGTGTAATAATGAGAGAAAAAAAATGAAATCATGATTTTTCGATTAAAACAGCAACTTTGCAGTGTTTTTTCGTATGTTTTTTATAGTTGTATTTGCGATTTCTTGGCCTCATTTGATAGAATGGAAGACATATTACAGAAATAAGATGATTTGAATGGTTTTAGCACTGGAAATGGCTTGAAACTGAGCTCAAAGTAGCGGAAATGTTAAATTTTTTGCCGATATTCAAGAGAAACAAACGACCCTCACACATCTAATACACGTCCGGTGGGTCTAATATACATTCACAAATATGGTGATGATAATTTATACAATTATTACAGTATTGCATAACAGTAAATCTTCTATTTTTTTGGTGTGAATAAAAATTCATTATGTGAATAAAAAATCAAAATGGAATTTAAATTTGTAAAGCCTCAAAACATAACTAATGAACAGAGAAAATGTTAGTTTAGTGCCAGGAATGCCTACATTGTTCATTCTGGACCCTATTTTGAAATTGGAATATTTTGAACTTTGTGTTAAATTGGCCAAATTAACAATTTCCGATCACTTTATTTTGTAGTTGAAACAGTTGACTTGGCGATTTCTTGTGCTCAATCGATAGAATAGAAGTAATACTAGTGAAATAGCTAAGAATTTGGTCGATTGGAATAATGTAATTGGCCTAAAATGGGAGTCAAAGTCGGCAAAATCGCCGATTCGTAAATATCGCTGACACATCAAAATTCGCGAGAGCATAATTTCGTCAATTTTCCACCAAATTTCGTACTTTTTGTTTTATTACCTTCACAAAAAGATTCTCTACGATTTCATAAGAAAAAATAAATTTTTTTTTTTTTTGAAAATTCTTGGACACTGGTGCGTGACTCCAGATTTGGGCCTTGGACCCTGAAAGGGTTAAAGCATAACATGTATATTTTTAGTACAGTTTATGACGTTTTCAGGTATTTTATGGTTGTTCACGGTTCAACAAGTTAAGGAAGCAGTATTGTATTATATTTCCCTACAATATATTGGGGCACCAAACATTCACGGTTTTTCAACATTCGCGAGGCTCTTGATCCCCTAACCCTCGCGAATGTTGAGGGAGACCTGTACTTCCTCTTCTTCTCCTTTTTGTTAGTGTGAGTTTGTAAATGGTCCAAGTCGGACCAAAATGTCATTGTAAGCTCCTCTCTCCTATGTGCAGGTTATTTGTGTATTGTTCCAGCTACGGTATTGAGCCTTTTTGTTATTTAATGTGCTTCACGCTATCACAACTGTAACATCCTTACCCTTCCTTCAGAGTACAGGCACTGTACTTCCCACCATCACAACTAACATCCCCATCCTTCCTTCAGAGTGCAGGCACTGTACTTCCCACCATCACAAC